TGTTTTTCTTTCTCTGTTTTTTTTTTTTTTTTTCAGTGTTCAGGCCATCAGGGTTCAGTGAAGACTGATTGTACATAAACTGTGTGGGAGCTAGATTATTACCTAGTAAGAATTCCTTTTCAAGGCCTGGTCCTTCTGGTTTACTTAAGTAACTGCTGAACTCTGTGTGGATACTATCTCAAGGTTCCCATTTTCTGCCTTCCCTCACATTCTAAAGATTTTATGCTAATCAGTGACTACCTATCCATCTAACTAGACTCACAATTGTGTGTTTAGAATTCTAAGATAGCCTCCAAGATGTCTGGCCTGTGCTGCACATATATCTTGTACCACTATTCAACCATGTATTGATCTAAGTACTACTGTATATTAGTATTTTCATTAGGCAGGCTAACTTATCAAGTAAATAGGTTTATTTAGCTCACAGTTTTGGAGGCTGAAAGTTCAGGATCAGGTGGCACTCCTGGTTTGGTGTTTGGTCTTTAGTCAGGACCTAATGGCAGATGGCATTGCCTTAGTGGGAATATGTGTGGGATAAAGAGATGACATCTTGAAATATGAAGCCTGAGAAAATCCCTTCTGAGGGTATGCCCACAATGCTCTAAGGATCTCCTGTTAGGCTCCACTTCTTAATAGTTCACAACCTCCTTCTGCCACACTAAGACCCAGTCTTCCAACACATGAACTTTTGGAGCCTATGCTCAAGCCACACCCATTTGGATAAGATGGGTCCATTTCATCATAACATAGGATGGTCAGCTTCTTGACTTTGAGTCCACCCTGGACCAGCCAGTCCCTGGCCAACTTCCCAAGTTGCAAAAATGTATGGTAGAAACCGAGCTGATGCCACATGGGGCAGAATAGAGATGTCTCAGCTGAGCTCCATCCACACTGCCAATCCACAGTACTGGGGGCAAATCATTTATTCTTGATTTTAAGTCACTAGATTTTGAGATGTTTTGTTATACAGTGATAGAAAACAGATGCAGATATTAAAGAACAGGCTTCATAATATGATTTTAAAATGAAAATTGTATGTCTTTTTGAATGGGTTATTGTCTATTCAGATGCCAAACATATAGAGCAAAATTTAAGGGTTGAAAGGATGCATGTATGAAAATGGACTTCACTCCTCCAGGATACTGTCAACCTCACCTCATCTCTTTAGAGCTCTTCTGGATGATGCTTAGGGTATAGAGTTAACAATTTCAAAATTTATGCATGGAGAAAATGACCAAAGTTGAGGATAGAAGTGAACATACTTATTTCAAATTGATTTGATTTGCTCTACTTTATGTTCCCAAATGTTCATTTCTGCCTTCTTCAATTTTTCTAAGAATGAATTCAGACGTCACAGCAAAAGAACAAGGTTAAAGCTTAGCATATGGATGACCTTGTGAATGAATGCTCTAAGATGGAAAATTATCATATGCATTTTCCAGTAATTTGAGATTAGACAATCTGTGGGTTAAGTGAAGTGACTAAGCAACCATTCAGAGGAGTATTTTTTTTGTATTTCATTTGGAGAAAACAAGTCACACAAGGACCTCCACGCCCCTAGATTAACTGCATCAGTCTAGGAACAAAAACCTAACATTCTCCAGCAGGTTCCTAGGCCACTAGTTTCCCTGACCCATCCAGAGTCCTTTCCACATTCTGAATGTGAAATCAATGGGACGTTGGACTCAGACTGAGAGTCTAGTATCACCTGAAGTCACCTCGGAAAGTCCAGCTGAGCCCTGAAATTCTAGCCTTATTCATCAAACATCTGTCACATACCTACTTTGTTCTGTGCACTGTGGTTGGTAGTATGAGTATAGATATACAAACCACTTAGTACATAGCCTTAAAGTTCTTATTCCCAGGGTCTATTCACAGAAGCTCCCAGGCTCCCAAATTAAATTGGATCCTCCATAAAAATTCCCCTAAGATTCCCTAGGGATGGAAAATATTCAGCCCCAAACAGTGGACATAATACATTGGTAGATTTGCCCTGCTATATTTTAATAAAGATTTGAATTGAGAAATTCAAAGTAAACATTTGCTCTCCATTTATTTGTTTCTGGTTTAAATGAAATTAATGGTACTTGGGGTTGGGGTAGTGTTGACTTTGAGTCTGTAAGCATTTTTCTCTCAGACTATAGAATAAGCCATGTTTCCATTTCTCTCAGAGGGCAGGGAAATACTGTGTGGTCACTTTTCACATGGCTTGGTATCTCAAGTGTTTGTCCAGGCTGCTTTGGGAGGACAAATCAAGCTCCTTGGTGGGTTAATGCTTGTTATGGTTTGGATATGGAATGCCCCCACAAAACTCATGTGTTAAAGACATGGCCCCAATACAGAGATGTCCAGGGGTGGAACTTTTTTGGGAAGTGACAGGATCATGAAGTCTGTAACCTCATTGGTGGATTAATTCATCATTTAATGGATTAATGGACTACTGGGAAGAAGTGGAAACTGTAGGCAAGAGGGGCATGGTTAGAGGAAGTAAGTCACTAGAGGCATGCCCTTAGGGACTATATTTTGTCCCTGGCCCCTCTCCATGCCATCATGAGCTGGGCAGCTTTCCTTTGCCATGCATCCTTCCACTATGATGCTCTGCCTCACCACAGGTCCAAAGCAATGGAGCCAGCCAACCATGGATTGAGATCTCTGAAACTGTGAGCCAAAATAAAATTTTCTTCCTTTAAGTTGTTTATGTCAGGTATGTTGGTCACAGGATTGAAAAGATGACTAATACAGTGCTTTACTGAGGTTAGAATTCAAAGCATGCTTTTTCTATTAGTTGGATGGGGCTGCCATAACAGAATACTACAGACTGGCGGCTTAAACGTTTTATTTTCTCACAGTTCTAGAGGCTGGAAGTCCAAGGTCAATATGCTGGCAGGGTTGGTTTCTGGTGAGGTCTTCTTGCTGTGTCCTCACATGGCCTCTGTGAGCCTCCTCTTCCGTGTGTGTGTGTGTGTGTGTGTGTGTGTAGAAAAAGAGAGACAGAGATCAAGAGATCTAGCATTTATTCCTCTTCTTATAAGGTTACTAGTGTCCTACTGAATTAAGGAGTCACTAGTCCCCCTAATTAAGGCCCCATCCTTATGATCTTACTTTATCTTAAGTACCTCCCTACAGGTCTATTGTCCAAATGTGGTCACACAATCTAAAAATTATGGGGGGTACACAATTTAATCCATAACACTTCTTATATGCCAAATGCTATGCTAGGCATAAGGATGTATAGATATCAAGCACAAACTCTATGTTCAGGGGAGTACATATTTACAATTCAGAGCAATAATTACAATACTTTGATGGGTATGAAGGGGCAGAAAAGATCCATTTGGTTTGAGCAGGATGGGAAGGTTTTCAAAGGCGCCCTAGTCTCCAAGAGGGGAGGACTGTTGGAGGTAGGGATGGGGTGGGGTAGAGGTAAGCTGAGCAGGGAGAGAAGCAAGTGGAAGAGCATAGAAGCGGACCTACTCATTTTCCATCCAGGCTCCATAGTCACAGAGCAGGGCCATTTGGCAAGTGCTGTGACTGCACAGTCTTGGGTGTTTGCAGGATGTAGGAAGAGTACACAGAATTTGTTGCAGTGATGTCCCAGAAGTGTGCTGCACTTTGGAAGACTGCACTGAAGAGCTTGGACTTGATCATGGAGTAGGAATGGGACACCTTCTTCCTCAAGAAGAAGCTGAGCAGTTTGGTTTCAGAAAGTTTGCTGAGGAAGCAGTTGGGAAGAAATACTTTGTGACACTGGAGACAGGGCTGGTTAGAAAGCCCCTGCCAGTGTGGTGACATGGCATAAAGAAACCCTAGTAGTGCAGGTGGTTGAGACAGGTGAACAGCTAGACATCATGTACAATGTCAGGAACTAAGAGTTGACATTGATGTGGGGAAGCAGGGAAAATCTAGAATGGATCCCAAGTTCTGGTTCATGGCTTGTGGAGCTACTGTTTAGAACAAAAACAATACAAGACAGGGAGGAAGGAAGAATCAAATAGTAGGAAACACTCTGAATGAAATTCTCACAGCTCAGCTTCTTGGGTTGGGAAGGGGCTTCTCTCTTCAAATCCTTTTGCAGGTAATTCTACTCCTTAGCAGGCTTCTGGGGTCTGAGGATGGCCAGGCTGTGAGGCTGTGGCATTGTGAATGATAGATATCTTTAGACTAAGTAATTTGCTTACTGAAATCCATTAATTGATGGACTTTTCTGTGTGATCATGACCCAAGTTCATTTAGTCAGAAAAGTTTTCTAATGAATAAACCCTTAGTCATTCATTGCCAAGAAAATTAAAATCCTTTTGATCTAGAATCCATCAAACCCCTGTCCTTATTTGTACTCTGAAACAGACCCTGCTTATGTATCTGCTGTGATTCAGATAGATAGTAATCTTAGAGCCTTTGGGTTGGCCAGAGAAGCAACTTGCTGTAGGGGAACCTGAAGAAAATGAAATTCAGAGAGAATTTTTTAAAAAGGCAAAATAAACCCCTTTTCTCTTGCACATAAATTTACATCTCCAGTTACCCTTTTATTAAGGGAGCTGGGAGGCACATGAGTCAATCTCCAAATTATTGTCAAAATGAATTTGTACAATTATGACAAACCTGTTTCCTTTTTCCTAATTCCTTTTGAGTTTTCTTCTGAAAAGTAGTGACGGGATTGCAATGGGGACAGTCTCTCCCAACATCACAGGGTATAGTGGAGATGGAGCCCAGACGTGGGCGGCCAAACACCCAGCTTGAGTACGAGCGAACGTTCATGAGAGTGTGAAATAGATGGTGAGAGAAAGAACAGGCAGAAGACAGGAGGGAGGGAGAGAAAGATCAGAAAAGGAACGAGAAAGAGAAAGTGGGAATCGAGAGAGAGAGAGAGACGAGAGAAGAGAGAGGAGAAGGGAAACCGGAGAGAATCAGAAAAGAGAGAAAGATGAAAGGGGGGGGGGGAGAAAGAAAAAAAAAAGAGAATCTCTCATTGAGGAACTCTGAACGCGCGCCTGTCACCTCACCAATTTTTTCTCCTCTGGCGACGCGTGATCTTTGTCTTTAAACATCGCCTCACTTCTTTCGCGAGTCCTCTAAACCAACCAAACTAAAGTAACAGAATTTCCCGGCGGCACGGAACCTGAAGCCCGTCGCACTCCTCTGGGGGCCCACGCGGACCACTCAGGCCAGGCGTGGGGGCGTGGCCGGGGCTCGCGGCGGGTGTGGCCGGGGCGCTCCGGGGCGGGGCCTGGCGGTGACTCAACGGTCTCGCCCCGCCCCCAGCCCGCCCCGCCGCTTAATTCGGACGCGCGGGGCCGCAGGGTGCGAGAGCCGCCCTGAGCCGGACGCGCTGGCTGGCTGGCTGTCGGATCTGCGGTTGGAGCCGCCGTCGGAGCCGCCCTCGCGCCACCTCGGGCCGCCACTGAGCAGCCCAGCCGCTGGGCGCTGCCGCGGTCGCCTGCAGAGCCAGGGAGGGAGCCGCGCGTCTTTGTGCGCGCCGCGGTAGGTTGGCCCCGCACTTAGTTCTCACACAAAGACGAGGGTCTGGAGGAGGCCGGCTGCCCGCAGGGACGCGGCGCGTCGGCGGCCTGCCCAGACCCCCGGCCTGAGGGACCCTCCTGGCAGGAGGCCGGTGGAGCGGTGAGCGGCATGGGGCGGGGGTCTCTGGTGCCCGAGAGGGTAGTGGGCGTGCGGGAACCCGAGTCACCAGTGCCGCGCCCGGGGAGGTGCAGGGGGTCGGGGCTGGCACGCGGTGGGTGCGGGCGGCGGCCCCGGCCCAGGGGCGCTAGGGAGGCGGGAGCGATGCGAGAAAGGGGAGCCCGGGTGGCTGCTGAGCTCATTGTTACCTCTTTGGCCCTGCAGACTAGACTGTCTGAAGCGGGCTGCGCTGCTCCGGGCGCGCCGTTCGCGGGCAGCTGCCCGGTCCTTGGCTCCCGCTCGCCCTGGTGCCCCGGCGGCCCGACAGGGTCAGCGGCCCGACGCCAGTCCCAGCCCGGCAGACAAAGGCGGAGTCGCCAGGGTTTGTCCCCAATTGAAAGGTGGCGGTGACAGTTTCTAGTCTGCAAGTAACTTTTCTGATTTGACTCATCTGTCTCTGCTACTCCAGTGAAACCAGTGTGTCAGATGATGTTTGCACATTCATAAAGTACTCCAGTTTTGAGTTGTGTGATTTCCCCCCAGGCATGTTTAGGTCACTAGGAAGAGGTCTGTTGCCAATGCTCAAGTTTTAATATACGTAAGGGATGGTATCAACCCTTTGTGAAATTTGAGGAGAAATTATTTTCAGAGGATAAAGTGCAGATATAGCCATATCCATTCTTTCTTGCGAAAATGTTTTAGTCAATGACAGCAGAGAGAAGTTTCTTGATTAGAAGGGACCAACTCGAGATTCCTTGCTAACAGATACATCAGTTTTGTTTTTGTTTTTTTCTCTTGGCACGCTACCCCTCCATGACTTTGGACATATTAGCTGTCCGAGTTGCTTTAAGTTGAAATAGTGTCTGGGGTGTTTGTCTAGAGATTTCAAAGTGCTAGTGGTTTCAAGTTTAGAAATTCAAATTATGAAATTGTGTGTATTTATTTAAAAAATGAAAAAATGTGGGAAAAGATTACTCATGTGAATACCACCCAAACACACCCTGTGGCTGAAGGCATCTTTGCTTGATTTATGGTTGGGTTGTCCTGGTGTTTGTGCAAGTGAGTGAATGAGAGTATGAGAGAGAGAGAGAGAGAGAGAGAGAGAGAGAGATGCACACACTAAGCTACCGATTCTTAAATTTTACCAGTTATATCACTCTGAAATATGATACTTAATGATAATTCTGAAATATTGCACACATGATTAAATAAAAAATTGTTTTGGAATGTATATTTTTATAGCCTTGTAAATAACCACCTATGCAGAAAGTAGAGGGAAAACAAAGGAAAAACAGTGTAATTTCTACTTCACTTGGAAGAATATGCTGATAAGAAAGTTTTATGGATTATATATTCTTTAGATTTCAGGCATAGTTTGGAATTAGCTATTTTTAAATAAATACAAATCATCTTTAAAAGTATTTCAGAGTAAAATCATGTTCTGGGATTCGGGAGAAATATGTGATGGAAAGGAACTTTTTTTTTTTTTTTGATACAACAGGAATAGCAGTGATTTTACAGCTGGAAACATGCTTGCTTCTAAAATATTTTGCATTGAAAAAGTGAAATAAGGGTTTCCCATTGAGTATTGAGTAGTTTTGAGTGTGGGTACTCTGGAAAACAAAAAAGTAATTCAACCATGTATTCAGCTGCCCAATGCTTTTATCATTATCTATTTTTATATTCCTCTTGTAAAATTTTTGGACCTTTGAATTATTTAATATGCAAAGTGGAAAGAGGCCTTTGAGACAACCATTTAGAAGTAGGTTGATCATGAAGCTGATGCAATACTTTTTGAAGTGAGAATTTACAAGAAGGAAGTTGTGGTTTTGAATTAACAGGTGCATTTTTTTTGTTGCTGTTAGTACTGTTTGGGCTCCTTCATGTGCAGTTTGGATATTCTCAGTCTGTATGCATGCTTAGAGTAGTTGCAGTGTCCTCTGAAGGAGGGGGGAGGTATGCAGTCTTCTGTAGGGAACAGAATACTTTTAAGAGTTTGAATAATAACATCAGAAGAGTCTTCAGTAGGAAACACTAGCATCTCAGAATCTTATTTTTTAAAATTTATTTATTTTTGGTACCTGGGATTGAACCACTGAGCCACATCCCCAGCCCCCCTCCTTTTTTTTAATTTTGAGACTGGATCTCACTCAGTTGCTTAAAGCTTCCCTAAGTTGCTGAGGGTGGCCTCAAGCCTGCGATCCTCCTGCCTTAGCCTCTTGAGCCACTGGGATTACAGGTGTGCACCACTATGCCTGGCTCAGAATCTTATTTTTCAACCCTCCTGTGGTACCTTGGGTGATAAAAGTAGCACAGTCAAGCTGACCTTGAGGTCAGACAGAAGAATTGCTCTTCAAGTCTTTTGCCTCGAAGGAGAGAAACGTATGGGAGTAGCCCAGTGTTAGGGACTTTCTGTGGCTATTTCTGATGGCCAGCCTCCTACCAAGGAGACAAATTCCATTCCTGGGATGGTTAAAAGAAGACCTGGTTTGTGGTTGAGAGAAGTGCTCCAAGAAATCTTGTTCCTGAACTCTAGGATGCTGTCATTCATCCATTCATCTTTTTGATGCTTAATTGTTTAAAATGTCACAAAGGTGGAAAAGATTTTTTTTTTTTAAAACTAATTCTTCAGGATGATTGAGGAGTAGATTATTTCTGTCCAATCTGAAAGATGGCACATGGAAGACCAGTTAATAAGGCTTAGTATTTTTTGTTAGTGTCCCATCTGCCCTTTCCTTCCAGAATCCTTTGTGCAAGTGTTTTGAAAAAATGGGTCAGGGAGTTTGCTGAAGTGATATAGATTTCAGGCATTTGTAGAAGTCCCCACCTATCTTGGGGAGTCATCACCCTTCTTTTAGTTTAGAAAAAGTAGAAACTGAACAATTTTGGGGCTGGCTCTGTACCAGAAGAGCTGCTGTGGAATGAGAATCTGTGCATCCCAGAGCCACTTGTGGTCTTGGTGTGACTGATGAGAACACCTTGCAGTTCCTTGTGTAGTTCCTTGTCTCATCTTGGCCTGATTTTGCTTTTTCTTCTCAAAGTAAACTATTGTCACCCTTTGCCTTTCTAGTTCAACAAGTGCTGGGTCTCATCCATTTGAGATGAGAACTTTATCCTATGTACTTAAAGAATGCACAGAAGAGGAATCCATGCTTTTACCCACCTAGTATTATTGATTTCAGAACTCTGTCAGTAAAAGAAATAAAATTATTTGGCAATCTGGCTTAAGTTACCATTGAACTGCTTCAAGGCTGTTTCTAAGGCTGATAGGTGAGAGGTTTGCTTTTCATTCCTCTACATTTAACAGATATTTATTTAGTGCCTCTTATATGCTAGACACTGGGTTTACTGTTAACCTTGTCACTGTTTACTGTTTACTTGTTACTGTTTAACAGAACCGATAGGGTCCTTGTTCTGTGGCAGGGCAGGTGAGGATGGCATTTTAAGAATCATACACAATGACACAAAAATTACTAAATTACAGTTCTAAGAGCTATGGATATAAAATAGTACTTTATGAATTAAGCAATGTCAGAAAGAATGATGTAAACCACAGCTGAGGATGGAAAATTGGGCTCTGACCATGTAAGATAAAAGGAGGATTTGGGGCATAGATGGGGGTAAATAAGATGATTTGTCTAGGACTGATCAGCTGAGAGTATAGCAGTAGGGGCATGGCTGAACAGATTAAGTGCACTGCTTGGATTTTGTGTAGAATTTGGCTACAGATCTGGGACACTTTGTAGTGTAGAATTGAGCAGAGGTGGGAAACTCTACAGTGTTGTTCTCTTGTCTTCATTCAAGGTAATCTCAGGGCCAATAGGGATGGGAAGCCAATTGTGGTGGGGATATGGTGACCTGAGCTGGTTGGTATTGCCAGAAGTGAGGATTGGTTTTGGAGCATCTCTGTTACAAATGGAAAAATGAGCTGGGGATTGTGGGGAGAGGGTGAGAAGACTTGCTGAAAATTATTTTCAAGCTCTGGTGAATTGTAGGAAGGAAAATGGGGAGAGCTACTGGGACAGAAAGGGTTGTTGATTTCACAGTAAGGAAAGTGCGATAGGTGCAGGAGTTGGTGAAGCATGGGCTAGGGTGTGTGTGTGTGCGCACTTGTGTGGGGAGGTTGTGAGAGACATATGGATTGGTAACAGTAATGTTCCCTCCACACAGCAAAGGCTTGGGTTGTAGGGCATGACAGAGAAGGACTTTCTGGGTGCTGTTCCTGGTCTACTGCTAAATAAGTCCTTAGCAGTCATGAGACCAGGGGGCTTTTGATGGAGACTGCTGAGCCTCTGCAACCTTGTTAAGTACGTGTTGTCAGGTCTTGTCCAGAAGCAAGGTAGGAAAAATGCAGTTTCAGACCAGCTGTTCCTATTATAGTGGTATCAGGCACAGGGGCAGTGGAGGATTTGTTTTTCTCCTTATTGTTGTCAGCACTAATGTAAGTTATACAGGATCATCTATAGGCAACAGCCCTGCTCTACAGTAGCCCTGGGCTGTTGGAGTGAACTTGTAGAATGGAACAAGGATCT